AACAAAAGTTGGGCTGGGACGTGTCGCACTGCATACGCAACGAATGAGGCGTATGCGTATGAGTGACATTGACCGTTTCATATACATTTTAATGGGTTATTTAGTTAGCCTTCATTTTGCCGACAGCTTAAGCCAGATCACGCAATCGACTTTGGACTTGCTGTAATTGAGTTGTTTTTCCTCGGGAAGTTGGCCGACTGCAGCACTCGAAAATACTATCTATTTTAAGCATTGAAGAGTGCCTACAGACATAAGGCACCGCGGTAGGTTTCTTTTAGTCCCAGGGCATTACGTAAAAGTACTCAAGTATTTTTTTGAATCCCAGGCTACTCAGTCTGTTAACTTTGGGGGTGTCTATAGGAACAAAAACTCAGGGAATTATGGCAATAATGGTAGGATGACGTTTCTAGTCCCATGTCCCGCCTAAGGGGGAAACACATAATCAATCAAGATATTTTAAACAGTGGACCTCAATTTGCGTGCAATTTGTTAAGGAGAAAAAATGACAACTGTGACTGCAACCTTTTACTGCTATGTGATGCTCAAGGCTGTCGGTAGACATGGTACCAGCCCTTAACATTGAAAAAGTTCACAGAAATGAAAAACGAAAATAAAATGACTGTATGCCTCTGCTGTTCCACGTAGACCTACTCAGTACATGCATTTTCCAAAGGCAAAACTTTTATTAATTTGGAGGACGCCGAGTAAAGTAAATACTCCAGGACTAGGTGGTGTCAGATACTCGGAGGCTAACACATTTGGGAAGACACATTAAGTCGATCTCAAGGGTTTCTGCTATCCGGTCTCAGAGGACATTCGAAGCACTAATTCCCTGCTTTACCTCATCTAAACAAGTTTACTCATGATAATTTTCGGCGACAATAGTGATTTATGCCGACACCGGTCACAGTTGTAAGGTGAACACGGTGTTTCCCTTGTCACATTTTAGAAAAAGTGTCCCTGGTACTGCTGCCATACTAGAGATCCCTGTGTAGTAATAAAATGCCCAACTAGTAACAAGAAGAGAGAACCTGCAAAATGTTTGTGTCGTGTTTCCAAATTTGTTAGTGGAACGACAACCTCGAGAGGTGGACCCACAGTGGTCGATTTAAGTGGAATTTAAAAACCTGCATAGTCTACAAATAAAAGGACATTTACTAGTCAAGCTAACTTCTACATAAGGGACTCCGAACTGCCGTCGATATAAGGATAGACATCCAAAGAGCAGTTGTCGAGTATACGCATGCTTTCCATAAGTCTTAATCGGGCCAGGACATTTATACGAGAATGGAGTATGTCTACCAGAAAATTGGTTTTTGGTTCGTTCACCTTCTGATCCTGCCAAATCAAATCAAAAATGAGTAGACACCAGTGGCAGAACGGTTGACAAGCCCGTCTCAGATACGTAATGTATTTCAGTTCATTACCTTTCAATTCGCTGTTTAGTGCAAAGTGCTAGGAAAATTTGCTCAACAGACAGTATCGAGGAAGAGCTCAAGAAAATTCAGGATCTACTTCGCGAGAACGGGTATCCTGAGAGATATTTTACAAGGAATATGACTGCAAAACAAATAAAACCCACCACGCTTACTATAGTAAAGAAAACACCATTCATCAGAGTCCCCCTTTCTAGGGGACATGACAAGTTAACTCCTGTAAAGACGCCTTTACCTAGCCGTGTCACGAACCTTCCCGGCAGCGAGGGTTCGGGTATTATTTTTCACTAATCCGGGCTTACGTGGGAGGGTAAGGATAGGTTACCAGCTCAGACCACCTCCATGTACATCTACTTCTTTATCTGCTCCCGTGGAGCAGGTTATATTAATTGCACGAGTCGGCGCCTACCCAAAAGAATAAAGGAACACCTCCCGGCATGGCTGAGAAAAAATGAAGTCAGGAGCATAAACAACTCTATTCTGGCGCAGATGGTTGATTCCGGAGACCATGTGGACCCCAACGAAGCCATCCAGGTGATCTATAAGGTCCCACCAAAATATCCAAAGTCCCTGGGTCAGCGCCTGCTAGCAACAACACAAGCGACCAGTATCGAGTTGATGAAGGCGACGTTGTGTGCACAAAATAACTTCCTACAAGCTCCGCGTCTGGCGTGGCCCACAGTCACTTAGCCGCATGCAATCGCCCGCGCTATGTTTTGTCTCCCTCCCCTTCCCCTCGCCTAGACTGGTTCCACCAAACCCTGCCCTCGTAACCAGCCTTCTCCTATCGACCTCTCCCATGACTCCCTAGCCTCACGACTCACTTGTGCGAAAAGACGAGCACGCTTTAACTTGCACCCCGCTCCCATAAAAATGTACTGGCCGGACGAGAATTTATCGAAAGCCCACGTACGCTCGCCAATTACTCTTCTGAAGTCTCGGATAGAAATTTTCGCAAATTTCGATAAGTACTCATCGGGCCGGTATATATATACGGGAACGCTGTGCGTCTACAAGAAAATTGGTCTTTGGTTCAGTCTCCTTCAGCTCTTACCAAATCAAGTCAAAAACGACTAGATGCCAGTGTCAGAATGGTTGACAAGCCCATCTAAGATACATAAATTATTTCAGTTCACTACCGTCCAATTAATAATTGGTCGTGATCATCGATTTGGCTTCTGCGGACGCACGATGAGTTACACCTACTACGCACCCCCAGTCAGGGAGACGATGTAAGGGGGACAGAATTCACTGCGAATAGG